AGATTCTGCTATCGGTTGAAATTGAAGGCAAAGCGAAGATTGTCAAATGGTACAGAGGCACGGATCAGGTGAATTCGTCTAGCACTACGAAGATCGAACAAGTTTCTGACGCTGAGTATAAACTCACTGTTGAAAATTGTGAATTGACTGATGCTGGCGCTTATCGCGTCGTTCTTTCCACTGAAAGTGAATCTGTTGAATCCAGCTGTACGGTAACTGTCAAGGAGAAAGAAGTTAAGGTGTCCCTACCGTCCTTTAAGAAGGGACTCAACGATCAGGCCGTTCCTAAGGGACAAACACTCATCCTCGACGTTGAGGTGGAAGGACAGCCGAAGAAGGTCAAATGGTATAGAAATGGTGAAGAGTTGAAGGATGTGAACACTGAAGATTCTGGTGATGGAAAATATCGTCTCGTTGTCAATGATTTCAATGAGGCTGATGTTGGTGAATACAGTGTTAGAGTGGCTAATGATGTTGGTGAAGTTGAAAGCAAGGCCAAAATCACCCTCGAACCAACAGATGTTGGTAAAGGTAAACCAGAAATCGTATCTGGTCTTATTCCAACTACTGTTAAACAAGGGGAGACAGCTACGTTCACCGTGAAGGTTAAAGGACCAGTGAAATCTGTGAAATGGTACAAAAATGGAAAAGAGGTGCCAGATGCGAAGACGAAGGATAATGGAGATGGATCTTATGAACTTAGCGTACCAAATGCACAGAAGGAGGATGCTGCTGATTACAAGGTGGTTGTCTCGAATGATGTTGGAGACGCTGAATCTTCGGCTGCACTCACTGTCAAAGTACCACAAATTGAGTTTGTTAAAGGACTTGCTGACACTACCGTACCCCAGAAACAAACAGGCACACTTGAGATTGAAACTAACAAACCACCCAAGCAGGTGAAATGGTACAAGAATGGCAAGGAGATTATGCCATCTGATAAAGCTGAGCCGAAGAAGGTTGACGAGAACAAATATCAGCTTGTCATTCCAGATGCTGGCAAGGATGACACAGCTGACTATAAGGTTGTCATTACCGATGAAGATGGCAATGAAGCTGATTCATCCTGTGCATTGACAGTGAAACTGCCTGGTGCAATTGAAATCGTTAAAGGGCTTGAGGACACCTCAGTGCCTAAAGGACAAAAGGCTGTGTTGGCGATTGAGACAAGCAAACCACCCAAAC